GAGGTAATCTCTCCTTCTAAGGCCTGAGCAATCCCTGAGGTAATCTCTCCCCCTGAGGTATGAGCAGGCCCTGAGGTAATCTCTCCCCCTGAGGTCTGAGCTGGCCCTGTGATCTCCTGAGGTAAACTCTGCTCCTGAGGTCTGAGCAGGTCCTCTGATCTCCTGAGGTATCTCTCCTCCTGAGGTCTGAGCAGTCCATTTGATGTCCTGAGGTAATCTCTCCTCCTGAGGTCTGAGCAGGTCCTCTGATCTCCTGAGGTAATCTTTCCCCCTGAGGACTGAGCAGGCCCTGTGATCTCCTGAGGTAATCTCTCCTCTTAACGCCTGAGCTGTCCATTTGTTCTCCTGAGGTAATCTCTCCCCCTGAGGTCTGAGCTGGCCCTGTGATCTCCTGAGGTAAACTGTGCTCCTGAGGACTGAGCAGGCCCTGTGATCTCCTGAGGTAATCTCTCCTCCTGAGGTCTGAGCAGGTCCTCTGATCTCCTGAGGTAATCTCTCCTCCTGAGGTCTGAGCAGTTCATTTGATGTCCTGAGGTAATCTCTCCTCCTGAGGTCTGAGCAGGTCCTCTGATCTCCTGAGGTAATCTTTCCCCCTGAGGACTGAGCAGGCCCTGTGATCTCCTGAGGTAATCTCTCCTCTTAACGCCAGAGCTGTCCATTTGTTCTCCTGAGGTAATCTCTCCCCCTGAGGTCTGAGCTGGCCCTGTGATCTCCTGAGGTAAACTGTGCTCCTGAGGACTGAGCAGGCCCTGTGATCTCCTGAGGTAATCTCTCCTCCTGAGGTCTGAGCAGGTCCTCTGATCTCCTGAGGTAATCTCTCCTCCTGAGGTCTGAGCAGTTCATTTGATGTCCTGAGGTAATCTCTCCTCCTGAGGTCTGAGCAGGTCCTCTAATCTCCTGAGGTAATCTTTCCCCCTGAGGACTGAGCAGGCCCTGTGATCTCCTGAGGTAATCTCTCCTCTTAAGATCTGAGCAGTCCATATGATCTTTTGAGGTAATCTCTCCTTCTGAGGTCTGAGCAGTCCATGTAATCTCCTGAGGTAATCTCTCCTTTTGAGGCCTTAGCAGTCAATGTAACTTTCTGAGGTAATCTCTCCTTCTAAGGCCTGAGCAGGCCCTGAGGTAATCTTTCCTCCTGAGATCTGAGCAGTCCATGTGATCTCCTGAGGTAATCTCTTCTCTTGAGGTCTGAGCAGGTTCTGTGATCTCCTGAGGTAATGTTCCTCAAATTCTCAGTTTGCTGTTGTAGATAGAGACTCCAGACAATCTCAGACCTCTGTCTCAGGTCAGCAGGTTTTCACAAATATTTTTTAAAAAGTGCACCATTGGCCATTGGTTAGTTTGTTTACCACTGAAAAAAAGCTCAGCCAATCCCAGCTAAGTACAGAATTTTGCTCAGCTCAGCAACAGCATCTGCCCGACAACACCCAGCACAGCTGAGACGACCTTTTGACCCAAAGCACAGAGAGCAGGCCCGAGAGAAGACCTCCACCGGCCACAGATTATATAGGAGGAGGAATAAAACAAATGACTGAAGTAAAAGCAAAGGAGGGGAAGGTGACAGCGAAACCATGATGCCTTCGCATCTTCTTCACTACTTTGGATATGGGGAAAGGACAGAACCTCAGTCCTATCTGTGGCCCCCAGATCAAACACGTCAGCATGGTGGTCATCTGAAGTCTGACCAGTTATGGTGGCTTAGTTGGTGTGCAGGAGAAGCTAGCGGAGACGAGGACAACCTTTGAAAAACCTGCCACATTAACCCCTCGTAGACCTCCATATTTAGTCCTTGTAGATGGTTAGCACAGGTTACAGGACCAAAAAACACGTAAAGGGCTACAGGAAGACGGTGTCATGTTATACACAGGTATATGGGGTTATATAGAACAACAGTGTCTGGGGCTTCAAAAACATGATTGTTTTTCATAGTTTTTGATGCGGTACGCATGTAGCAGGGAGACTACATGTGGTATGCATGTGCATGTAACCATGCGGAAGCTGGGAGACTAGTGAAAACATAATGGAAGGCTGCACTCACTCAAACCACCACAAGGCGGTGATCTAGATCATTGTGAGTGGACAGACAGAAAGAAACGCTAGGCAAAGACAGGAAGTGATGTAAGACAAAAACAGGAAGTGATTTGGGGCAAAGACATGACATTATAAAAGGTAAAGACAGGAAGTTGAGTTGAGAGAAAGTAGTGAGGTGACATCACCCCCACACAGGGGACAAGGGATGTGTCTGGGTGATGACTGTATCATTGTGTGTGTCAGGTTCCTATAAGGTGTCAGGATGTCTCCGTCTATTTCTCCATGGAGGAGTGGGAGTATCTAGAAGGACACCGGGATCTCTACAAGGACGTCGTGATGGAGAATGAGCCGCCCCTCACATCACCGGGTAAGAGGAGAGAGCAGTACGGAGGGTCCACCTAGATCCCCCATCATCTGAGACACACATAGAAACAATGTATTCAGTCAGTGTGTGTGTTTCCTACAGATGGATCCAGTAAGAGGAACCCACCAGAGAGATGTCCCCATCCTCTGTATTCCCGGGATCCCACACAGGAACATCACACCGTCCCTCACCATGATCAGGTATCCAGCCAGCAAACGATATTCGTTGTTTTAGTATTTTTGATGTGTAAGGAACACAGTGGTAATTGAATATTTCGGGATAAGGATTGAGTTATATATATGAAATGTCACTAAAGGTCACATAGTAGTTCTAGAACACGTGAAAGAAAAGATTGTTGGGTGCTCTACACACATGTGTATAAACCAGATAGATTCATGATAGATGAGGCACACAAAGAGCATGAGGAAAGATATCAAAGCTTGCATGACGTATCATTAGGGCACAATCATGGTCATAAGACTCCTACAAGCTCCTCATCTACCATACGTCTATATATACGGAATGTGATATGGTTACAAATATACTTTATCATCTTTGGGGTTTTAGGGTGAAGAACTGAAAGAAATCAAAGTCGAGGTTAAAGAGGAAGAAGAAGAGACGTTGGTGTGCGGAGCTCAGCGGTCTATGGAGGAGGGTGGACCTCTGTACTCCCGGGATTCCACCCAGGAAGGTCACAACATCCCTCACCACGATCAGGTAGCAAAAGAACTAAAAAGTATTCTAAGCTTTGGAGGATTTTCCTCCCGGTAATCCCTTGTTCCTTATTATAAATGATTATTATTATTACATAGTATTTATATAGCGCCAACAGTTTGCGCAGCGCTTTACAATATAAGGAAGACATTACAATCACAATACAATTCAAGAGAAGATGGTAAGGAGGGCCCTGCCCCTGAGGGCTTCCAATCTAAAAGAGGAGGGGCCAGTGATACATGAGGAGGGAGCTGTGTGGGGATGAATTATTAGAGAATGTGATGGTTCAGTGGTTAGGTTGAGGTGGGATCAGCTTCCCTGAAGAGATGAGTCTTTAGGGAACGCCTAAAGACTGTCAAGGTGGGAGATAGACGGACAGGTTGGGGTAAATAAATATATTCTATCATCTTTGGGGTTTAGGTGGAAGATCTGAAAGACATCAAAGTTGAAGTTAAAGAAGAAGAAGAGACGTTGGTGAGTGGAGCTCAGCAGTCAATGGAGGAGGGGGAGATGATTGTGAAGAGTAACCAGGAGGAATGACTGTATCATTGTGTGTGTCAGGTTCCTATAAGGTGTCAGGATGTCTCTGTCTATTTCTCCATGGAGGAGTGGGAGTATCTAGAAGGACACCGGGATCTCTACAAGGACGTCGTGATGGAGAATGAGCCGCCCCTCACATCACCGGGTAAGAGGAGAGAGCAGTACGGAGGGTCCACCTAGATCCCCCATCATCTGAGACACACATAGAAACAATGTATTCAGTCAGTGTGTGTGTTTCCTACAGATGGATCCAGTAAGAGGAACCCACCAGAGAGATGTCCCCATCCTCTGTATTCCCGGGATCCCACACAGGAACATCACACCGTCCCTCACCATGATCAGGTATCCAGCCAGCAAACGATATTCGTTGTTTTAGTATTTTTGATGTGTAAGGAACACAGTGGTAATTGAATATTTCGGGATAAGGATTGAGTTATATATATGAAATGTCACTAAAGGTCACATAGTAGTTCTAGAACACGTGAAAGAAAAGATTGTTGGGTGCTCTACACACATGTGTATAAACCAGATAGATTCATGATAGATGAGGCACACAAAGAGCATGAGGAAAGATATCAAAGCTTGCATGACGTATCATTAGGGCACAATCATGGTCATAAGACTCCTACAAGCTCCTCATCTACCATACGTCTATATATACGGAATGTGATATGGTTACAAATATACTTTATCATCTTTGGGGTTTTAGGGTGAAGAACTGAAAGAAATCAAAGTCGAGGTTAAAGAGGAAGAAGAAGAGACGTTGGTGTGCGGAGCTCAGCGGTCTATGGAGGAGGGTGGACCTCTGTACTCCCGGGATTCCACCCAGGAAGGTCACAACATCCCTCACCACGATCAGGTAGCAAAAGAACTAAAAAGTATTCTAAGCTTTGGAGGATTTTCCTCCCGGTAATCCCTTGTTCCTTATTATAAATGATTATTATTATTACATAGTATTTATATAGCGCCAACAGTTTGCGCAGCGCTTTACAATATAAGGAAGACATTACAATCACAATACAATTCAAGAGAAGATGGTAAGGAGGGCCCTGCCCCTGAGGGCTTCCAATCTAAAAGAGGAGGGGCCAGTGATACATGAGGAGGGAGCTGTGTGGGGATGAATTATTAGAGAATGTGATGGTTCAGTGGTTAGGTTGAGGTGGGATCAGCTTCCCTGAAGAGATGAGTCTTTAGGGAACGCCTAAAGACTGTCAAGGTGGGAGATAGACGGACAGGTTGGGGTAAATAAATATATTCTATCATCTTTGGGGTTTAGGTGGAAGATCTGAAAGACATCAAAGTTGAAGTTAAAGAAGAAGAAGAGACGTTGGTGAGTGGAGCTCAGCAGTCAATGGAGGAGGGGGAGATGATTGTGAAGAGTAACCAGGAGGAATCTTCTCCACATATGGACACAAGTAAGTCCTAAACACCAAATTCCGACACTGATCACATTTTAATTTTACTTCTATGAGTGTAAATTATAAAGATTTTTTTTTCCCATTAAGGAAAAAAATTTAACCTTGACGGCGGATTAAAAATGTAACTAATGTTCTAACCAATGTCCGAAAAACAAATGAGGAGGAGATACTGTACACCATATGAAGGTCCATCTCCATTCCTCAATATAACGTCATGTGACCAACAAATGAGGAGGAGATACTGTACACCATATGAAGGTCCATCTCCATTCCTCAATATAACGTCATGTGACCAACAAATTAGGAGATACTGTACACCATATGAAGGTCCATCTCCATTATTGACATGTTATTTCTTTCCCCAGATGGACGCTATGTCGGGAATGTCTCAGCCGGACATGTTATATTATCTGCAGAGTGTAAGTCAGAAGATGACGGTATAATACAATCTTCTCCACAAGGAACTTCAATTATTGATAATATTCATCACCGCTCTTCCTGTGTGAAGACATCAATGGATCCCTCAAATCCTGAGGACTCTTCTGATCAATCAGATCACATGACTTCAGACATCAATCTCAGATCTCATAGCGCAGATCAAACAACAGATCCATCCAATCCCAAGGAATCTTCTGTAAGCCATGAAGGGGTCCACACAGGAGAGAATCCATTCTCATGTTTGGGGTGCGGGGAATCGTTCAAGATGAAATCCAAACTTCTTGTACATCTCAGATCTCACACCAGCGTGGCCTTTTCATGTCCAGAGTGTGAAAAATCTTTCTCTGAGGAAACAGGACTTCTAATACACCAGAAAACTCACAAGAATGACAATCCGTATTCATGCTCCGAGTGTGGAATATGTTTCACTACAAAAAGAGAACTTCTTTCACACCAGAAAACTCACAAGAGTGAGAATCTGTATTCATGTTCAGAGTGTGGGAAATGTTTTAATGAGGAAAAAAGATTTCTATCCCACCAGAGAACGCACACGGGTGAGCGTCCTTATTCATGTTCAGCCTGCGGTTACTGTTTCACCAAGAAAAGCAGGCTTCTGCAACATCTGAAAGTTCACACAGGTGAGCGTCCTTTTTCGTGCTCAGACTGCGGCAAATGTTTCACTCGCAAAGGAAGCCTTATCATACACCAGAGAAGTCACAAAGGCGAGTGGCCTTTCTCTTGTTCGGAGTGCGGGAAACGTTTCACCGTCAAAGCCAAATTACTTGCACACCAGAGAAGTCACACTGGCGAGCATCCTTTTTGTTGTCCAAAGTGCGGGAAGTGTTTCACGTGGAGAGGAAGCCTTCACAGACACCTGGAAAGTCACACCGGCAAGCGTCCCTTTCCATGTTCAGAGTGCGGGAAATCTTTTATGCGTAAAGAACATCTAGTTAAACATCAGTTTACACATATCTCCTGATGCTGGTAATGAATGTATGGTGGCATCAACCAGGTGGTTTTGCCTAGTCCGTGGGACAACTGTATAATAAAAATGTATTTGTATAGTTATGCAGTCCTAGAGGCGTGACATTCCTGGCTCTCTCCCCGCCCACTGGGAGGTGTCCCCAATTTTTGCACTCTTCACAAACACACACACACAATCAAGGTGGATATGCTTATGTATGAGCAAGGTGGTGACCTGGGGTCTAGCCAGTTCTGGTGGCTTGGTTGGTGCACAGGAACAATTTACTCAGAAGGAGGATCTACAGAAGATGAAGACAACCCTCGAATACTGGAGCTGGACAAACCCCCGGCGCCAGGTCGCCAATACTCCTTATAGTTGATGGCTGACACAGTGTCATGTCATACACAGGTATATGGGGCTACATAGGACTACAGTGTCATGTCATACACCGGTATATGGGGCTACATAGGACTACAGTGTCATGTCATATACAGGTATATGGGGCTATGGATGTGGGACTTCAACTTCCTTTAGCATTTATTGAGGGACACAGGAAATCAAAGACTGTTGGGTTATACTGCCGCCTACATGGGGCTTTGGACAGGATACTGGCAAACAAAACAAAAAAGTTCCAACCCATTACACCCCCTCCTACTCCCAGCATGCCATTGTCCTAAGAGGATGGATGTCTTTTCTCCTTTCTTCTGGTCTCAACTTTTTTTGCTGGCTTGTTTTTCTTCAATCCAGAGTTCTGGGACATTATAATATGGAAGTGAGAAGATGTTCTCCAAGTGAGAAGATGGCCTCCAAGTGAGAAGATGTTTTCCAAGTGAGAAGATGGCCTCCAAGTGAGAAGATGTCCCCAAGTGAGAAGATGGCCTCCAAGTGAGATGTTCGCCAAGTGAGAAGATGTTCTCCAAGTGAGAAGGTGTTCTCCAAGTGAGAAGATGGACTCCAAGTGAGATGTTCTCCAAGTGAGAAGATGGACTCCAATTGAGAAGATGTTCCCCAAGTGAGAAGATGGCCTCCAAGTGAGAAGATGTTCTCCAAGTGAGAAGGTGTTCTCCAAGTGAGATGGACTCCAAGTTAGAAGATGGACTCCAATTGAGAAGATGTTACCCAAGTGAGAAGATGGCCTCCAAGTGAGGTGTTTTCCAAGTGAGAAGATGTTCCCCAAGTGAGAAGATGGCCTCCAAGTGAGATGTTCTCCATAAAGGGGACCCTGCTTCTCGCTCCACCATTTCTTGGTGGCTCAGACGGACCATCATTTATGCTTTTGGTCTCATGGATCGGGTTCCGCTCCTTCCTGTTCCGGTGCATTTACTTCATCTGTGAGTATTCGGCACCAGGAATCTGTTCCCCAGGTTTGGAAAGCTGTCGCGTCCTTCAGTTTGGATGTTCTCCAAGTTTTACCAGGCGGATGTTCCGGCCTCTTTGAATGTCAGCTTCAGAGATCAGGTCCTTATGTAAGGAAGGTATGGACAGAAGGTCCTTCAGGTGGCCCTTTGAGCCCCATCAGTCACCAGCCATCTTGTTTTTTGTAGGCCTCTTGGTGTTCTGTTGCTGTTGACCAAAACCTCAGGTGGACTTCTTTTGGATGTCCCAACAGTCCATGAATCCCTGTGACTCAATGAACGCTAAATAAAAAGGACATTTTGGCCACGGAATCCATTTCTTTGTGGGACACAGATCCCACCGACCTGTATTTATGGTCATGTTCTTGGAACAGTGTCCTCCTGTAGGCTGCAGTATAACCTTACAGTCTATTCCCTCAACGAACTACAAGAAATTAGCTCCACGATAAGTACAAAATACAATTTTTTTAAATTAAATTGGTTTTAATATGTGCAACAGAACGAGCAGCAGACAAAATTTTGAAAGGTAACAGAGTGCAGTCATTAAAATAACCACAAGAGGGTGATCTCACAGACAGGAAGTGACGTAAGCTAGAGAAAGGAAGTGATGTAAGGTAGACAGGAAGTGAGAAGAGGTGAGTTGGGAAGAAGTGGAGAGGAGACATTGCTGGAACTGGCAGCAGAGGAGGTAATAAGCTATTATGTTATATTTACACCCAGTAACCCCCCCGCCCCCCTCGTCATGTCCGTCCTCATCCTCCATGATCACTGTGATGTCTTTTATCTCCAACAGAAGCTGATACACACACCGATCCTTCACTTCCTATAGTAAGTAATCTGAAACCTAGAACAGAAATAAACACAAAGGCCGAGGCAATATTATATTTGGGTTCCACTTCTCGTACCACCTCCAGTAAAAAAATACAGAACCTCCCTCCATCTGAACTTGGCCATCGCCCGGAAATGACCATCTCCAGTCCAGATGCATGCAGACCTCGGATCGTCACGACTCCCGGCCGGCAGATGTAGGGAGGTCTTCTGTCCCAGGCTTCCCGTACCGGGAGATATGAAATGTTATGTGGCCACTGCGTAGTGCTACACGGAAAGTCCGGGACAGAGATCTTCGTGGATCTGCCGGCCGGACACGGTGACCATCCGAGTGATGGTGGGTGAAGATGGCGAGTGTCATTGATTCCATAGAGGAGGTCAGGACTGGAAGCAGTGAGAGGGCCAGAATCAGGTCCCAGGTCCATCATATCCACCTCACCCCCAGACACGTCATCTCCCTCCCACCCACCTTACCCCCTGGTCACGTATCCCTCCTATCCACCTCACCCCTAGACACGTCATATCCCTCCCACCCACCTTACCCCCGGTCACGTATCCCTCCCATCCACCTCACCCCCGGTCACGTATCCCTCACCCCCGGTCACGTATCCCTCACCCCCGGTCACGTATCCCTCACCCCCGGTCACGTATCCCTCACCCCCGGTCACGTATCCCTCACCCCCGGTCACGTATCCCTCACCCCCGGTCACGTATCCCTCACCCCCGGTCACGTATCCCTCACCCCCGGTCACGTATCCCTCACCCCCGGTCACGTATCCCTCACCCCCGGTCACGTATCCCTCACCCCCGGTCACGTATCCCTCACCCCCGGTCACGTATCCCTCACCCCCGGTCACGTATCCCTCACCCCCGGTCACGTATCCCTCACCCCCGGTCACGTATCCCTCACCCCCGGTCACGTATCCCTCACCCCCGGTCACGTATCCCTCACCCCCGGTCACGTATCCCTCACCCCCGGTCACGTATCCCTCACCCCCGGTCACGTATCCCTCACCCCCGGTCACGTATCCCTCACCCCCGGTCACGTATCCCTCACCCCCGGTCACGTATCCCTCACCCCCGGTCACGTATCCCTCACCCCCGGTCACGTATCCCTCACCCCCGGTCACGTATCCCTCACCCCCGGTCACGTATCCCTCACCCCCGGTCACGTATCCCTCACCCCCGGTCACGTATCCCTCACCCCCGGTCACGTATCCCTCACCCCCGGTCACGTATCCCTCACCCCCGGTCACGTATCCCTCACCCCCGGTCACGTATCCCTCACCCCCGGTCACGTATCCCTCACCCCCGGTCACGTATCCCTCACCCCCGGTCACGTATCCCTCACCCCCGGTCACGTATCCCTCACCCCCGGTCACGTATCCCTCACCCCCGGTCACGTATCCCTCACCCCCGGTCACGTATCCCTCACCCCCGGTCACGTATCCCTCACCCCCGGTCACGTATCCCTCACCCCCGGTCACGTATCCCTCACCCCCGGTCACGTATCCCTCACCCCCGGTCACGTATCCCTCACCCCCGGTCACGTATCCCTCACCCCCGGTCACGTATCCCTCACCCCCGGTCACGTATCCCTCACCCCCGGTCACGTATCCCTCACCCCCGGTCACGTATCCCTCACCCCCGGTCACGTATCCCTCACCCCCGGTCACGTATCCCTCACCCCCGGTCACGTATCCCTCACCCCCGGTCACGTATCCCTCACCCCCGGTCACGTATCCCTCACCCCCGGTCACGTATCCCTCACCCCCGGTCACGTATCCCTCACCCCCGGTCACGTATCCCTCACCCCCGGTCACGTATCCCTCACCCCCGGTCACGTATCCCTCACCCCCGGTCACGTATCCCTCACCCCCGGTCACGTATCCCTCACCCCCGGTCACGTATCCCTCACCCCCGGTCACGTATCCCTCACCCCCGGTCACGTATCCCTCACCCCCGGTCACGTATCCCTCACCCCCGGTCACGTATCCCTCACCCCCGGTCACGTATCCCTCACCCCCGGTCACGTATCCCTCACCCCCGGTCACGTATCCCTCACCCCCGGTCACGTATCCCTCACCCCCGGTCACGTATCCCTCACCCCCGGTCACGTATCCCTCCCATCCACCTCACCCCTACTCACAGTCTATCCCTCCCAGGCACTTTGTCCCATGTCACATCAGATCCCTCAGTGGTCACCATACAAGCCCCCACTCACTAGCATGCTTCCCATCCTCCTTGCATTCCCCAAGTCACAGTGCAGCCCTCCCGGATGTCTACTTTACTTCTTGGCCTCAGCATATCCCTACGTGGCCACCTAACCCCCAAGCTCACAGTGCATTCCTCTTATCCACCTTCACTGCTTGCTCTCCCGACCATTACCTTTACCCCCTACTAACTGCACATCCCTCCCGGTTACCTCACCCCCTCTGTCAGACCATCCTTTCCACCTCATCCCCTTCTCCCCCAAAATTACATTACTCTCATCTACCTCACCTGCCCACTCGTAGTGCCTCCTCATCCCCTAGTCACCGATCATTTCTCTGACTCGCCTTGACCACCTCACAATGCAACCCTCTGGCCACCCCAGCCCCCACTCAAAAAACATCCCTTGCCAGCTACTTCACCCCTTCTTTCTATACTTGCCTCCATAGCCACCTAAACCTACTGACAAGCTCACTGAGTATCCTCCTCCCAGTCACCTCCTCCTCCCAGTCACCTCCTCCTCTGTCTCCTCCTCCTCTCAGTCTCCTCCTCCTCCTCCCAGTCTCCTCCTCCTATCAGTCTCCTCCTCTGTCTCCTCCTCCTATCAGTCTCCTCCTCCTC